GCTAGATTCGTCATTAGGGTCATCTTTTGAATAATTACATTTTGGTCCTCGGAGTTTCATATTCTTCCATTAAGGCCATTTTTCGTTCATTTTCTCATACTTTTCGTTCCATTCATCAATGTAATCCTACAAGCACCAATTATATTGAATTAAGTCATATTTCAACATATACATCAACAATTTTTCCATATTTTGTGACCTAAATAAGTGTGTAAAACACACTTATCAACCTGCTTTAAACCATAGAGACTTTTTAGGAGTTTGCAAACCATATTGGGTTGTTTAACTTCCAAACCAGGAGACACTTCCATATAAACTTCTTCATACAATTCACCATGTAAAAATGCATTATTTACATCTAATTGATGAATATACCAACCCCTGATAGCAGCTACAGCCATAAGTAAACGAATTGAAGTGATTTTTGCCACTGGGGAGAAAGTATCAAAAAAGTCCAATCCTTCTTGTTGGGTGTAACATTTAGCCACCAACCTTGCTTTGTGTCTTTCTATAGTTCCTCAGACTTGTATTTTACTTGAAAAACCCATTTGCAACCTATAGGCTGCTTATCTTTAGGAAGAGTAACAAGATTTCAGGTTTTGTTTAACTCTAAAACATTTATTTCATTCCTCATAGCAACTTGCCATTTATGCATTTTTGCAGCTTGTTTATATGTGTTGGGTTCTTTTGCAAGAGAAATGGAAGCTAACAAGGATTTGTGAGGTGCTGAAAGTCTATTGACAGAAAGAAAAGTTGATATAGGGTAGAAGTTACATGTGTTAGAAGAACAATCAATGGAAGCAGATGAGTTGTTTGCATAAGGAAACAATGAGACATTGCCAAAATAGTAATTCTGCAGAAATTTTGGTGGTTGTTTAGGTCTTGTTGATTTTTTGATGTGAGAATCAGTGGTAATGGGATAAGCTGAATCAATAGGAACGGAATTTGCAGCATCAGTGTGATAGCGCCTATCGATTTGTGAAGAATTTGAGGGTTCTTGTGAAGGAGTATTTTGATGAGAAGGTATAGGAACTAAGGAAGATATGGGGTTATTTGAGAGTGAGGCTTCATGTGAAAATTCTGTATGAGGAAATAGAAAATTTGGTATTTCAGAATGAAAAGGAAACTGCTTGAATGGAAAGTTGGTTTCATGGAAGACAACACTTCTGGAAATGATGATCTTGTTTGTGCTCAGCTCCATGGGTTTGTAACATTCAGCATTAGATGGATATCCTAAAAATAGGCACTTAGTTGCTCTTGGATCAAACTTTTGTTTGTGGCTAATGATAGTAGATGCAAAGCATAAGCATCCAAAGACATTTAAATGAGAAAGATTAGGTGGTTTGTGAGATAACATCTCAAAAGGTGTTTTGTCCTGAAGAAGAGGGGTTGGAATTCGATTTATGATATGTACTGCAGTAATCGCTCCAAAAGGTTAGAGGTGAATTTGTTTGAAACATCAGGCTTCTGGATGTATTTAGCAAGTGTTAGTGTTTTCTCTCAACAACCCCATTTGACGTGATGATATGATGATATAGATTTCAATTGATGATTATATCATGATTACGAGAATGACTCATGTCTTGATTATTAATATATGATGTTATATTGTGAACTATTAAATAATACGAACTCGATTGATTTTCGATAAATATGTATAAATGACAAGGTATAACTATTTTCAAAATTTCCACTCACTGAACTATTAACTAATATATTTTTCCACGATTTTTCCTACAGGTAGCAGTTGGTTCTTTATAGCTAGAGGAGCTTGATGATTTTAAAGTGATAGCCACACGACATATTGAGTGACATGATATATTTGATAAAGCACGAAATAATTATTTGGGCCCATTGCATTAAGCAATTGATTTGGGCACATTTTGTAGTAATTCATAGTCAGTCTTGGTTGGGGATCTGACATTTAGTTAGCATCTATTATTGGCACACATCACGTTTCGAGTCCACTAGGGTGGTCCGAGACGGGACGGGACGGGACGGGTCGTCTCATGTTTGGTGGGGGTTAAATAAAATTTATAGTAAGTTTCGACAAAAAAGTTTATAAAATGTATCATATACCAAATAAGGGTTGAAAATGAATTTTTTTTTTCTTAAAAAAAATGGAAGTTTTACGATATGAAAGCCAATGGCGACAACATTAGTTCAGAATTATTTGTGCCATAATCAAATAAAACATAACACTGTATAACTTCAAAATAGCATAAAACAAATTAACACATCTATTTTTAAATAGGTAAATGAATTCATTCAACAATGTGTCAAGATGATCGTTTAAATGTAGACGTTCTTCCAAAACGGAGTGAGTCATCGTGATATTTCTCTTTCCCCTGTTTCTTATTTTTGCTTTCTCACGTATAATATTTTTTCTTTCCATGTTATAATAAAGATGTAATCGACAAGACTTATTGGAAAAAAAAATTAACTAGGTTGTCTATTTATTAGACATTAGTGTCACATGGATGAAGGTCTTTCTATTGAAATGCCACCTAAATTTAAATTCACGAAATGCATGAAAAATGTTCTAAGGTAATATAAAGTCTCTCCACTGATTTTAACTCGGTTTTGATTAGTATTACAATTACGCTTTCTTTAGTATAAACTTCTATAAATA